AAAGGCAGAGGCAGAGAGAGATCTTTATTTCACTGGTTCACTCCCCAGATGGCCACAATGGCCAGAGCTATGCTAATCACAGCCAGGATCCAGGAGCTTGTTCTGGGTCTCCTATGTGAGTGCAGAGACCCAAACACTTGGGCCATTTTCCACTGCTTTCTCAGGCCATAGCAGAGAGCTAGATCAGAGGTGTAGCAGCGGGACTCAAACTGGGGCCCACATGGGATGCTGGCACTGCAGGTGGTGGCTTTACCCACTACGCCACAGCACTAGCCCTGTTCTAGAGGTTCTTGAGTTGTTGATTTCCAGCTTTGTTTCATTGTGGTGAGAGATGATGCATGGTATGACTTTTTTTTTTAATTTGCTGAGACTTGCTTTATGGCTGGCCTGTGGTCTATCCTAGAGAAAGTTCCATGCACTGCTGAGAAGAACGTGTATTCTGCAACTGTAGCATGAAAAGCTGTATAGATACTATTAGGTCTGTTTGTTCTACAGTGTTGATTAGCTGTTGTTTCCTTGCTGATTTTCTGTGTAGTTGATCTCTATTGCTGAAAGTAGGATATTAAAGTCCCCTGTTACTATTGTATAGTTACTAGAGGCTGCAAGTCCTAGGTAAGGCACTGGAGATTCAGTGTCTGGTGAGGACTCCTAAATAAAAAATCTAAAATAAGACGTTGTTCATCTATACTAGAAGGATCTATCTGGGTTTTCTTTCTCTCTCTCTTTTTTTTTTTTTTTTTTTGACAGGCAGAGTGGACAGTGAGAGAGAGAGAGACAGAGAGAAAGGTCTTCCTTTGCCGTTGGTTCACCCTCCAATGGCCGCCGCGGTCGGCGCGCTGCGGCCGGCGCACCGCGCTGATCCGATGGCAGGAGCCAGGAGCCAGGTGCTTTTCCTGGTCTCCCCTGGGGTGCAGGGCCGAAGCACCTGGACCATTCTCCACTGCACTCCCGGGCCACAGCAGAGAGCTGGCCTGGAAGAGGGGCAACCGGGACAGAATCTGGCGCCCCAACCGGGACTAGAACCCAGTGTGCCGGCGCCGCTAGGCGGAGGATTAGCCTAGTGAGCCGCGGCGCCGGCCTAGTTTTTCTTTCTCTTTTAAGATTTATTTATTTGAAAGGCAGAGTGACAGAGAGAGAGAGACAGATAGACAAAGAGTGCTTCTAGCCCCTGGCTAATTCCCCAAATGGCCACAACAGGCAGGTCTGGGCCAGGCCAAAATCACAAGCCAGAAACTACATCTGGGACTCCCATGTGGGTGCAGGGGTCTAAGTAGTTGGGCTATCCTCTGCTGCTTTCCCAGGCACATTAGCAGGGAGCTGCATCAGAAATGGAACATTTGGGACTCCAACCAGCGCCCATATGGGATGCTGGCACTGCAAGCGGTGGCTTAATGCACTACACCACAGTGCCAACCCTGGAAAGTAGGTTTTAACCTGAATTTTGGGAGGACACAAACATTCAGATCATAGCAAGATCTGCGTGGGGATAAAGAGTTCATTGGCAGTGCCGGTATTGTGATATAGTGGGTAGATCCACCACCTGCAATGCTGGCATCCCATATGGGTGCTGATTCCTGTCCCAGCCAGTCCACTTCCATCTCAGCTCCTTACTAATAATACTCCTAGGGAAGCAGCAAAAGATGGCACAAGAGCTTGGGCCCTTACACCCACATAGGAGACTTGGGTGAAGGTCCTGCCTCCTGGCTTTGGCCTGGCCCAGCACTGACTGTTGCAGCCATCTGGGGAGTAAACAAGTAGATGGAAGACTCCTCTCTGTCTCTCCCTCTCTTCAACTCTTTCACAATAAATAAGTAGGGGCTGGTGCTGTGGCATAGGGGAGTAGCATTTCACAGGGGTGCCGGTTCGTGTCCTGGCTGCTCCACTTCTGATCCAGCTCCCTGCTAATGCTCCTGGGAAAGCAGCAGCCAACCATCTCAGTACTTGGGCCCTAGCACCCATGTGGGAGACCCAGATGGAGCTCCAGTCTCCTGGCTTCAGCCTTTCACAGCCCTGGCTGTTGTGGTCATTTGAAGAGTGAACCAGTGGATGGAAGTCTCTCTCTGTCTTTTTCTCCCTATCTGTGATTCTGACTTGCAAATAAATAAATAAAAATCTTAAAAATAAATAAATAAATAAGTAAGTAAATCTTAAAAGAGTTCATTGGCTAAATAGATCTGGGAATAACTTCCTCTTGGAGATTCCCAGTACATAATATGTATTAAAACTCTGTAAAATGTTAGGATAAAAAAACTCATTTAGCTATGTTTAACCCGGCCTTTCTCAGAATTTATTTAGCTACAGAACTCTTTTTTGGTAACTAATTAATACCTTAGGAGTTTAAACTTTGTATAGGAGTAATGAACCTTTTTCTTGCCAAGGACCATTTGGATATTTGAACTTAATTCATGGGGCCTTACAAAGTTACCAACAATAGGGGCCAGCACTGTGGCGCAGTGGGTTAACGCACTGGCCTGAAGTGCCAGCATCCCATATGGGTGTCAGTTAGAAACCTGGCTGCTCCACTTCCAGTCCAGCTCTCTGCTGTGGCCTGGGAAAGCAGAAGAAATTGGCCCAAGTCCTTGGGCTTCTGCACCCATGTGGGAGACCCGGAAGAGGCTCCTGGCTCCTGGCTTCGGATCAGTGCAGCTCCGGCCGTTGCGGCCAATTGGGGAGTGAACCAGTGGATGGAAGACCTCTCTCTCTCTCTCTCTCCTCTCCCTGTGTAACTCTGACTTTCAAGTAAATAAATAAATCTTTAAAAAAAAAAGTTACAACTATAAAAATGAGTCTGTTAGGCCGGCGCCACAGCTCCCTAGGCTAATCCTCCACCTGCGGTGCCGGTACTCCGGGTTATAGTCCCAGTTGGGGTGCCGGTCCTGTCCCGGTTGCTCCTCTTCCAGTCCAGCTCTCTGCTGTGGCCCAGGAGTGCAGTGGAGGATGGCCAAGTGCTTGGGCCCTGCACCTGCATGGGAGACCAGGAGAAGCACCTGGCTCCTGGCTTCAGATCTGAGCAGCACGCCGGCCGTAGCGGCCATTTGGGGGGTGAATCAACGGAAGGAAGACCTTTCTCTCTGTCTCTCTCTCACACTAACTCTGCCTGTCAAAAAAAAAAAAAAGAATCTGCTATAGACTTACTGAATTTCTTTTTTTATTTTATTTTATTTTAAATTTTTGACAGGCAGAGTGGACAGTGAGAGAGAGAGGCAGAGAGAAAGGTCTTCCTTTGCCGTTGGTTCACCCTCCAATGGCTGCCGCGGGCGGCGCACTGCGCTGATCCTGTGGCAGGGGCCAGGTACTTATCCTGGTCTCCCAATGGGGTGCAGGGCCCAAGCACTTGGGCCATCCTCCACTGCCTTCCTGGGCCACAGCAGAGAGCTGGCCTGGAAGAGGGGCAACCGGGACAGAATCCGGCGCCCCGACCAGGACTAGAACCCGGTGTGCCGGCGCCGCAAGGCGGAGGATTAGCCTAGTGAGCCGTGGCGCCGGCCCAGACTTACTGAATTTCAAATCCCTCCTGCCTTGGCAGGGCGAAACCAAATGATTTCATAGGCCTTATACAGCCCGTGGGCCGGATGTTACCTACTCCTGCACAGAAACTGCTCTGATGTGTTTTTTTTTTTGTATTAATTAATAAATATGCATAAAAATAAGCTGTTTGATTTTAAAAGATTATAGATTCATGAGTGTTTTGTTCAGCATAAAAACCACAAGTTTCCTAATGTTTTTCACAACTACATTCCTGGTTTTGTGTAGCCTAATTTTAGGAATGTTGAGACTTGTCTACATTTCTGGAGGTTCATTGAAGAGCACTAAGCAATTGTCTCCTGCTTTTGAAAAGTAGAGCTTGGAGTTCTGAGCACAGAGAACTATGGAATAGTAATAGAAAATGCTACTCTCCTTAAATTTACCTTTTTAATGTGGACTTGTGAAACTTCAGAGTGCATTTGTTACTACCTACCTTGCCATTCTTGTTATCTTTAGGGCTCTTTTTTTTTTTCCATGTAGATTTTCCTAGTTTAAAAAAGGTAGTTTTGGGCCGGCGCCGCGGCTCCCTAGGCTAATCCTCCGCCTAGCGGCGCCGGCACACCGGGTTCTAGTCCCGGTTGGGGCGCCGGATTCTGTCCCGGTTGCCCCTCTTCCAGGCCAGCTCTCTGCTGTGGCCAGGGAGTACAGTGGAGGATGGCCCAGGTGCTTGGGCCCTGCACCCCATGGGAGACCAGGAAAAGCACCTGGCTCCTGTCTCCTGCCATCGGATCAGCACGGTGTGCCCGCCGCAGCGCGCCGACTGTGGCGGCCATTGGAGGGTGAACCAATGGAAAAGGAAGACCTTTCTCTCTGTCTCTCTCTCTTCACTGTCCACTCTGCCTGTCAAAAAATAAAAATAAAAAAAGGTAGTTTTTTCTCATCTACTATCTATTTGAAATCATAAGCATTTCATTAAAATGATTGCCAGATTCTTAAAAAGTTTAACCTGCTGGGGCTGGCACTGTGGTATGGCAGATAAAGCCATGCCTGCAGCACCAGCGAGCGTCCCATATGGGAGCCAGTTGGAGTCCCAGCTGCTCCACTTCTGATCCAACTCCTTGCTAGTGTGCCTGGAAAAGCAGCAAAGGATGGCCCAAATCCTTAGGCCCCAGCCACACATGTGGGAGACCTGGATGAGGGTCCTGGCTCCTGGCTTTGGCCTGGCTCAGGCCTAACCCAGCCCTGGCCGATGCAGCTATTTGGGGAGTGAACCCTTAGGTGTAAGACTTTCTCTTTCTTTCTCTCTCTCTGCCTCTGCCTCTCCTCTGTAACTCTGACTTTCAAATAAATAAATAAATCTTAAAAAAAAAAGTTGACTTTGTCATTAATGTGACCACTAGTCATTACAGGAAATTAATAAATGTCTTTGAGTGCAAGGATAAATAAATGCTAATTTAGAATATGTGGAGGGAAAAGGAACATTGCAGCTGAAATTGAAGATACTGATATTTAAATAATCATTTCATTTCCTTTAGGAACTTGAACGAGAAATCACTTTTCAAGGTGACAGTGCCATTTATTACTCTTACTATAAAGATATGTTAAAGGCGCCTTCATTTGAAAGAGGTATGATATTTGCAGTTTCCTTGTTGTTGTTTTAAATTTTTTTCCTTAATTTGAGAGTCAGAGACAGGCATTTAGAGAGAGCTCCAGTCCTCTGGTTTCCTCCACCAATGCCCACAATATCCTGGACTGGGATGGAACTGAAACCATGAGCTGGGATCACATGTGGGTGTCCTACATGGGTGTCAGGAACCCAGTTGCTTGAGCCATCAACATTGCCTTGCAGGAAGGTAGGAACCAGAGTCAGGCCTTGAACCCAGGTATTCTGCTATGGGACTTGGCCATGTTAGCTGCTAGGCTAAATACTTGTCCCTAAGTTATATTTTTAATAACAATATTTTTCTTTTTTTAAAGATTTATTTATGATTTGAGAGGCAGAGTTATAAACAGAGAGAAGGAGAGACAGAGAGGTTTTCCATCCACTGGTTCACTCCCCAAATGGCCGCAATGGCCGGAGCTGGGCCGATCTGAAGCCAGGAACCAAGAGCTTCTTCCCTGTCTCCCACATGGGTGCAGGGGCTGAAGTACTTTGGCCATCTTCCAGTGCTTTCCCAGGCCAATAGCAGGGAGCTGGATCAGAAGAGGAGCAGCAGGGATTTGAACCAGTGCCCATATAGATGTCAGCGCTGCAGGCAGAGGCTTAACCTACTACACCACAACACTAACCCCAACAATATTTTTCTAAAATAAGACATTGGGGGCTGGCGTGTGGCGCAGTAGATTAATCCTCCGCCTGCGATGCCTGCATCCCATATGGGCGCCAGGTTCTAGTCCCGGTTTCTCCTCTTCCAGTACAGCTCTCTGCTGTGGCCCAGGAGTGCAGTGGAGGATGGCCCAAAGTGCTTGGACGCCTGCATCCACATGGGAGAGCAGAAGGAAACTCCTGGTTCCTGGCTTCGGATCGGTGCAGCTCCAACCATTGCGGCCATTTGGAGAGTGAACCAATGGAAGGAAGACCTTTCTGTCTCTCTCTCTCTCACTGTCTGTAACTCTACCTGTCTAATAAATAAATAAATAATCTAAAGACATTGTTCATCTATACTAGAGTCTTTAAGTGTAGAGATCTGTCTCAGAATTAGAAATTTCTCTTTATTGTACTTAATAGAAAAGTTGGAAAAATGAGGCACAGAATGTTTACTTTTGAAATTTTTCTTGATAATAATGCTAAATATTTAATAACTAATGAGTGACATCTTTACTAATATGTAAACAGAATAAATAATCTGGAGAAAAATCTTTCTGTCTTCAGGTGTTTACGAATTGACACACAATAACAAGACTGTGTCTCTGAAAACTATAAATGCAGTGCAACAAATGTCACTGTATCCAGAACTTATTGCCAGTGTTTTATATCAAGCAACTGGCAGCAATGTATGTATTTTTCTTATGACCTTAAACCTTAATATTTACCTTTTCACATATTTGTGAATTCTCAAGTTGTTCAGTGTCATCCAGTTGTCTCTCTTTTTTTTCCATTTAGGAGATTATTGAACCAGTATATTTCTATATTGGCATTGTCTTTGGATTGCAGGGAATTTATGTTACCGCTTTATTTGTTACAAGTTGGCTTATGAGTGGAACATGGCTGGCAGGAATGCTTACTGTTGCCTGGTTCATTATTAACAGGTAAGAAAGGTATCTTGGGTTTTTAGAATTTTTTGTGGCTGTGGCAGTTCTGAAAATGCTCCCTAACCCCATGAATCCCCACCGTAATCCCTACACCAAAGAATATGGTAAGCTGTTACACCTGTGATTATAGCAGGTTGTATGGCACAGGTGACCTGAGGTAAGGTAATTATCCTATGGGTCTGATCTAATCACATGGCCCTTAAAAGCACAGAGCCTTCTGTAGCTGCGATAGTCCGAGAGGTTCAAAGCCTGAGAAGGATTTGCTGCAATGTTGCTAGCAGGAAGCAGGTAGAAAAAACATTTTTTTAAAGATTTTTTTTTTCTTTTTTTTGAGAGGTAGAGCCACAGACAGAGAGAGGGAGAGACAGAGAGAAAGGTCTTCCATCCGCTGGTTCATTCTCCAAATGGCCACAATGGCTGGAGCTGAACAGACTCAAAGCCAGGAGCCAGGAGCTTCTTCCAGGTACAGGGGCCCAAGCACTTGTGCCATCTTCCACTGCTTTTCCACAGCTTTCCTAGTGAGCTGGGTCAGAAGAGCACCACCCACATGAACTGGTGCCGATATGGGATGCTAGTTCTACAGGCAGAGGCTTAGCTCACTAACGCCACAGTGCTAGCCCTGGAAATGAATTTTATCAACAACCAGTGAGCCTATAAGAGGATCACGGGGCCAGCACTGTGCCATAGACAGTAAAGCTGATGCGTGCAGTGCTGGCATCCTGTGTGGACACCAATTCAAGTCCCCGCTGCTCCACTTCTGGTCCAGTTCTCTGCTGTGGCCTGGGAAAGTAGTGGAAGATGACCCAAGTGTTTGGGCCCCTGTACCTGTGTGGGAGACCCGGAAGAAGCTCCTGGCTCCTGGGTTCGGATGGGCCCAGCTCTGGCCGTTGTGGTCATCTGGGGAGTAAACCAACAGGTGGAAAACCTCTCTCTCTCTCTCTACCTCTCACTGTCTATAACTCTGCCTCTCAAATAAATAATAAATAAAATCTTAAAAAAAAAAAAAAAAAAAAGATGGCCCAAGTCTTCAGGCCACTGCACCTGCTTGGGAGACCTGAAGGAAGCTTCTGGCTGCTTGCTTTAGATTGGCCCTCTTCTGGCCATTGAGGCCATTTCAGGAGTGAACCAGCAGATGAAAGACCTCTCCCCACCTCCACCCCCCTTTCTCTGCCTCTCTCTAACTCTGTCTTTCAAATAATAAAATAAATAAATCTTAAAAATAGAAGATCACAACCCCCAGTGAGAGCTGTAGTCCTTCCTGACACCTTGATTTTAGCTTAGGAAAACTCCGAGCAGACAATCCAGCCCCACTCACTTTTGTGAAGTAAATACCATATGTTGTTTTCAGCCACTACATTTGTGGTCATTTATCATGCAATAGTTGAAAAATAACATCCCAGGCTTGCATCTCTTTTTCAGGTATAGTGACCATTAGTATACATGGATGTTCCGCTTCTTGAATCTTTAATTTAAAACTGGTGATATAAGGACAAGCATTTAGCCTAGTGATTAAGACGCTAGTTAGATGGCTGCATCCCACAGTGGAGTACCTGACATCGATCCCTAGCTCTGGCTCCTGACTACAGCTTCGTGCTAATGAAGACCTAGGGAGACACTGGTAATGGTTCCAGTGATTAGGTTCCTGCCACCCATATGGGAGACTGGACTGAGTTCTCAGGCTCCAGTTTTGACGCAACTCAGTTCCAGCCAATGTTGGCATTTAGGGAATAAACCAGCAGATGAACGACACTCTCTCTCTCTCTCTCTCTCTCTCTCAGTGATGTGTGCTTATCTTTCTCTTTGTCTCTTAAAAAGATAAAAAAATAAAGTTTATGATGTAGTTTTGAAGAGGAGAAATGAGATATGTTACTGCTAACTACCATAGATAAGGATTATATATATCAACTTATAACAATGTGGTTTGACTAAACCTATCCCCCTTAGTGATCAGAGTAGCCTCAAGTTTTTTGTTTTTTTGTTTGTTTGTTTTGTTTTGACAGAGTGGACAGTGAGAGAAGAGAGAGAAAGGTCTTCCTTCTGTTGGTTCACCCCCAAAACGGCCGCTGCGGCTGGTGCGCTGCGGCCGGCGCACTGCGCTCATCTGAAGCCGGGAGCCAGGTGCTTCTCCTGGTCTCCCATGCCGGTGCAGGGCCCAAGCACTTGGCCATCCTCCACTGCACTCCCGGGCCACAGCAGAGAGCTGGAAGAGGAGCAGCCGGGACAGAATCCTGCGCCCCGACCGGGACTAGAACCAGGGGTGCCAGCGCCGCAGGCGGAGGATTAGCCTATTGAGCCGCAGCGCCTGCCAGTTTTTTTTTTTTTTTTTTTTTTTTAAGATTTATTTATTTATTTGAAAGAGTTACACAGAGAGAGAAGGAGAGGCAGAGAGAGGTCTTCCAGGTTCACTCCCCAGGTAACCGCAACGGCCTGAACTGCGCCAGTCTGAAGCCAGGAGCCAGGAGCTTCTTCTAGGTCTCCCACATGGGCGCAGGGACTTGAACTGGTGCCCATATGGGATGCCAGAACTGCAGGCTGGGGCTTTATCCACTATGCCACAGCACTGGCCCCAAAATAAATAAATATTTTAAAAAAGAAATTTACATACCCCTAACGAAGCTGAGATTGACTTCTGATCTCTCTGTTGAAGTTTGTTCTTTGTCTAATGACTAGAAAATCACTTTTGTGCTGTTCTTTGGCACCAACTGAATGTTCTTTTTAACCATTAACCAATTGCCTAAAGGTTGAAACAGTATGTAATGAGGCCGGCGCCGTAGCTCACTAGGCTAATCCTCCACCTTGCGGCGCCGGCACCCCAGGTTCTAGTCCTGGTCGGGGCGCCGGATTCTGTCCCGGTTGCCCCTCTTCCAGGCCAGCTCTCTGCTGTGGCCAGGGAGTGCAGTGGAGGATGGCCCAGGTGCTTGGGCCCTGCACCCCATGGGAGACCAGGATAAGTACCTGGCTCCTGCCATCGGGTTGGCACGGTGCGCCGGCCGCAGCGCGCCAGCCGCGGCGGCCATTGGAGGGTGAACCAACGGCAAAAGGAAGACCTTTCTGTCTCTCTCTCTCACTGTCCACTCTGCCTGTCAAAAAAAAAAACAAAAAACAAAAAAACAAAAACAGTAGGTAATGATCTTTTCCTAAAGTATTAATTTCCTTAGGATTTTTAACATTGTATTTTCTGTTTTTATCATCTACATTCTTCTACATTCTTTATTCTTCAAAAGTAGAATTTTTTTTCATTAACTAGAGTACCTTGGATACATTAAATTTAGTTACTATTAGAAAGTCAGGATAAATACTTAATTTTGTGTTAATTGCCAATCTCTGAATAAATTATTCTTTTTTAACTATCTCAGATAGTGACAACACCTTGTTTTCTGGTTTTCTCTCTCTTTTTTAAAAAAGATATATTTGGAGCCTGCAGCACCAGCATCCCATATGGGCACTGGGTTGAGTCTCGGCTGTTCCTCTTCTGATCGAGCTCTCTGCTAATGGCCTGAGAAAGCAGTAGAAGATGGCCCAACACCTTGGGCCCCTGCACCCATGTGGGAGACCTGGAAGAAGCTCCTGGCTCTTGGCTTTGGATCAGCTCAGCTCTGGCTGTTTTGGTCATTTGGGAGTGAACCAGTGGAATGGAAGATCTCTCTTTCTCTGGCTCTACCTCTTTCTGTAACTCTGTCTTTCAAATAAATAAAATAATTCTTTTTTAAAAAAGATATTTATTTGAAAAGTAGCATGATAGAAAGAGAGGGAGAAACAGAGATCTTTCATCCAATGGTTCACTCCACAAATGGTCACATTGGCCAGGGCTGGGTCAGGTGGAAACCAACAGCTTTGGTCTCCCACATGGATGCAGGGGCTCAAGGAACTGAGCCAGCTTTCTGCTTTCTAGGTGCTTTAGCAGGGAGCTAGATTGTAAGCAGAACAGCCAAGACTCAGCTGGCATTCTGATTTGGGATGCTGGCATTGTAGGCAGTGGCTTGACCTGCTGCATTACAACATGGACCCTTGGTCTTCTCTTCTCTCCTCTCTCCTCTCTCCTCTCTCCTCTCTCCTCTCTCCTCTCTCCTCTCTCCTCTCTCCTCTCTCCTCTCTCCTCTCTCCTCTCTCCTCTCTCCTCTCTCCTCTCTCCTCTCTCCTCTCTCCTCTCTCCTCTCTCCTCTTCTCTTTTCTCCTTCCTTCCTTCCTTCCTTCCTTCCTTCCTTCCTTCCTTCCTTCCTTCCTTCCTTCCTTCCTTCCTTTCTTTCTTTGACAGATAGAGATAGACAGTGAGAGAGAGACAGAAAAGTCTTCCTTCCGTTGGTTCACCCCCAAATGGCCACTACAGCCGGCTCTGTGCCAATCCAAAGCCAGGAGCGAGGTGCTTCCTCCTGGTCTCCCTTGCAGGTGCAGGGCCCAAGCACTTGGGCCATCTTCCACTGCCTTCCCGGGCCACAGCAGAGAGCTGGACTGGAAGAGGAGCAGCCGGGACTCTAGTCCCATATGGGATGCCGGCACCGCAGGCGGAGGATTAGCCAAGTGAGCCATGGCGCTGGCCCCTGGTTTTCTCTTTTTTAAGCATCTTTCTCTACTTACAGATTTTCATTAACTGAATGGGACTCAATCCATTATTATTATTCTTCTTTTGGTTGCTCAGATTGTCACAACTTTGGTTAATGGGGATATTTTCAGGCTGATTCCTGAGTTTTTGACACAACTTCATTGATGTTGGAAAGGTTTCTTATTTATGCTTCACAAGAGGTGCTGGCTTGCACATTTCCTGCAGAAGATTTGGTGCTGACTGTTTCTCTGTGGAGCTTTGGTTCCTTTTAGAAAAGAATGGTCCTAGAGAACCCAGTCTGAGTGCTAGGGGGGTAAGATGGTTTGTTATGTCAGAAGGTGCCTGTTAGGAAATATTTTCAGGTACTGTATACTTTTCTAAAATTGCATAAGGATTCATTTTTAGAAATGTAATGGCACCACAGGAGGTTATGATGGTACTCAAAGACTGGGTCTAG